TACTCAAAAACTGAAAGCTTTTTCATTGTTCTTATTTCCGTTGGCCCAAGACCCAGTAAGAGGATCCCGCAAGATGTAGGCCTATTTCAATCCAAAAGTGTTTCGCCAGGGAATAAAATATGTCTGCGAATCGCCTAAGAACGGTCCCGAATCGCGAAAGGCCGGTCAGCTGAGGCGGACGGTGTTCCGAACCCTAGCTGGACTACGTAAGGATGCTTCGCTATGTTTTATCATTCAGCGCTCCCGAAAGCTTATGCGTACTAAGGTCGGTTGGCTTCTACTGACCTTCGATCGACGGGGAGCAACATTCGCTTCGGTAAACCCACGTGGGGGAGGAAAACGCCAGGAAGACAATTGAACGTCTACCTACAAGAGAAGTGTTTACTCACTCTCTCTCTCTCTCTCTCTCTCTCTCTCTCTCTCTCTCTCTCTCTCTCTCTCACTCTCTCTCACTCTCTCACTCTCTCACTCTCTCACTCTCTCACTCTCTCTCTCTCTCTCTCTCTCTCTCTCTCTCTCTTCTCTCTCTCTTCTCTCTCTCTCTCTCTCTCTCTCTCTCTCTCTCTCTCTCTCAGGCGTTAACTGGAAAAGAGCGGATCGCTGTCCCATGGGCGATTTCCGGCGCCAAGTACTTGCGTACAAGTGACAACTTCCCAATGAGAATCTGGAAGAGGAAGCGAAGAGAATTTTATCTTAATAGACAGATAGAGACAATGAAGATGAGGACAGTCGGAAGGCGAGGAATTATAAGAGGAACGACTTGATAATGGTACTTACAGGATGAAATATAGCTTGGCAGTTTAATGTTCTAGTTAGTTGAAAGATATCTATGTAATCTAATCATCATCCCGTACCTTTATCTCTAAAATAGGTACATTCCAGTCGATAAGAAACTAGATCTATTCACATGCGTGGCTGTCTCTGATATCGTGTTATTCTAAGCACATTTATCTGTATGATAATGTTGGGAAATGAAAACTACGTAAAACAGCATTGTTCTAGTCATCGCTGAACTAATGACTAATCAATGAACTATGAAAGAAGCCACAGATATGACATATTCAGAAAAGCAAAGAAAAAACGAGATTTTTCGAGAGAAAGTCGGCGATATTATGTTAATGGGACAAAGAAAAATGAAGGGGCACGTTTGGGACTAAAAGGAAAAAAAAGAAAGAAAAATAACGCACATACATGCATCTCTCTATCTATGTGTGTATATTCATACGCATGTATATACGTTAAAATCCTTCCATTTCAGCAATGCACAGCAGGTCATAAACCTTTAAGGGAGGCAGTAAATCTTTCGAGAATGTTAGTAACACCTAATCCTTTACACAGGAAAAAGGCAATCCCACCCCATCTTATCGTATTTGTTTCACAGGTGTATCACTCGTTTCCCCATATGCTTACTACGCGTGAACCTTCTTCCCAGTAATGAGTCGGCGTCCGTTATACCTGCCTAGCACCTGACCACAGCATTCCCCGGCGCAAGCATAACCCAAATTTCCGTCGACCTCACCTGTTCTTTCCTCTTACTTGGCGACAGGAAAAAGAAATTACGGAGAGTCAAATGAACTTTATAAAGCATCTCGCAACTGTCTTGTCTGGGAGCTCACTTCAACCTTCGCTTCAAGACTATCATTTCCGGGCATTGCTCGGGCAGCGTCAAGTCTGACATTTTATTTCTTGAACGGGTTAGAGCTTTATTCGTGTAAAAATGTCTAATAATTTTTCGGTAATGTTGAAGTATAAGCTGTTAAACTTTACCACATGACTGGGCGTTTAAGGCGAAGGAAGGAGGGCTGTTTAAAAGGACATACGGAAAGGTTTGATTTCGCCGAATGCGGAGACGTTTCTCCTTTCGCCAAATTGCGCCACGGCCTCCCGGCAGGGGCCATGGCCGAGTGCGCTCACCAATATCAAGGCCGATATCTAAATTTATGGTCAGTTTACTTCGCTGAGCACAGTCGTCTTTCCTTAGGCCACACTTTGCATGGGAAAATGAGGGTGTAATCGCAACATTTCTTCGGAATGAAACCAAAATTTACCTTAACGTACGCGCCATGCTGCGTATAGTTCAAGCCACGTGTTGAAGAGCCCGCGTGTTCTGCGTTGTTGATATCGACCAGCTACCCCTTTAAAGATGTTTATTTTCTCTCTTCCTGGTCGCTTAAACTTACAGTTTCGATTACAGTTCTAAGTAGAATATAAGAAGGATTTCTTTCCACGGCTTCAGCGTAAGTACTGGGCAAAGATTAATCACATATTCGAAAATCTTCCCTTGATAATGGATATGCTTTTCCCTTTTACCGTAAGTTGCCGATCGTTCAATTGCTGTATATCCTCAAAACTCCTCTCTTTCACCAGCCATGTCTTCAATTAATCTACTGAGATACCTTTGCAATAAAGAAAGAACACCAAAAAGGTAGAATAACGGCTTATTGTTATAAACCGAACGAGAAATGAAATAAAGTAACCGGTAACCGAAGGTGTTTCGTCATGAAAGAGGTTCGTCGAGAGTCAGTGATCAGTCTGAGGCAAGACACCGAGGAGGATAGGTGAGTGCTGAATCAAATTTGCCCGTACTAATGTTCGATCGATTCAGTTGAATTAGTGCCACCACGAAACGATACAGTCTAAGCGCCGCCTCAGCTTGAACGAAAGAGAAATATCACAAGAAGAGGAATTTTGATCCGTACGCAGATGTAAATACGCAGTCTCCCTCCACCTCCGCCTCCTCCAGCTGACTATGGCGTAAAGTTTAACAGCTGTAAATATATCCTCGGCAAGCTTCCAAGTGTCACAATCACCTATGCCGGCTCTCTTGTTTGTGCCCTGTGCCATATACCCCCTCCCATCAGCCTTGTAGGTCAGTTGCCTTCCCAGGAGGATTTCGAAAGGGCAAGTGGATTTTTTTCTCTCCATCCCTCTCCCTCTCCCTCTCCGTTATTCTTCTTATCGGCATATGCATTTCTTATCTTTCGCCTTTTTTTCCGTTTGTTACCGAGATTCGTCTTCCGTGATAATAAGGAGAGAGGTTGCGTAAACAGTGCCAAGGAAATGAAGAAAAGAAGAAGAGGCTGTAGTTGCCAGGAAGATGAATTCTTAGAGTTTTGTGGGAGCCGGCAAAGGCAAATGTTTTTCCAGCCCTCCTGTGTAGAGTTTGGAGAGAATTTACCCGTGCTGGTGTGCGTTACTCCATCTCCTTTTATCAGTTATGGCTTCAGGGTCAAGGCAGTTTGGACATGGTCTGTCGGTAGAGGTGATAGGCCTATGTAGAGTGTAGTCTGTGTTAGGCTCAAGACGTTTCAGTGTGTTCCTGGTGATGGAAGTCTTTGAAGTGCTTTAAGGTGGGTTGTTCTGTGGCCCTTTGGGATGCTCCTAAGCTGTGCTGTGCTTTCAAGATCTCAGATGTCTGAAAAAGGTAGGCAAGGCTACAAAATTCTCAATGGGGTTATACACTACTTGTAGATCATTTTGACAGTTATTCATATGAAGTGACATTCTGCTTGCATTAAGGGATTTCAGTTTGAGGGTGTTGATTAAATGTCGCAGTGTGTGTTTGTAGTTGTTGTTGGCCCAGATGCGGTGCCAAGGGACAGTCTGCCAGGTCCATCAATAGCTTGCAGTTGTGTTGTTTGAGGAAGAGGCATCATATATAACTGTATCTTGCTGTGTCTGCGCAGAAGCTTGCAAACTCAAGTGGACTTTAGTGAAGGAGTAAGTTCTATGGGGAAAGATACATTAGGTGTCTTAAAGGGCTTGTAAGAGTATCTGATTAATGATACAATTTTTGATTCAGTTCATTGCTCTCATCTGTTTACTGCTTATGTTTTAGCTTAGTTTTGATTAGTAATAGAATATTTGGCTTTGGTTAGATTGATAATGCAAGTCCAGCAGTATTATAGCAAAGTGCTAAGTTATGACACACCTTAAGATGGGTTAAGACAGTGCCTGATGAATGACTTTGAAATTGTGAGAGGCAGTTGCCCTAAGTTGCCCCTCTGAACCTCAGGCTGTTGGCAGTAGTTGAACCTGTTGGCTTGGAGCCCCTCTTGGTCCCAGCTGTGCCTACTATGTGTGTACTGTAGCACCTCCTCATTGCTTTTCGTTGCTGTAATACAAATGTTTATAGTATTTCTTGATCTTCCACCTGGTTAGAAAATGTTGTTTTTTGAGGATGTGTCACAGAAAGCAACAACAATGTATTGGCTGCGACATGTGAGCAAAGGATATTTTTGGTGTGAACAATAGTTTTTCATTCCTAATAACGGTGTTCTGAATGACTTAATAATTAAGTGATTGTTATTCATATATGTTTTTAAATTTGGATGGATTTTGCTTTTTTGTTGCGTTACGTTGGAATTCAAATATCTGGGAGCAAGATACGGTAAATTTACGATGGATACCAATCAGGGTTACAGTAAAAAAAGTGTATTGAATGATTACCTTGATAAAACTTACACTTTTCATCTATGGAGATACATGACAGAGAAGAGAGGAGACCGATCCATCTTTTTCTAAGTTCTTCGCCGTGTTGACATCGTGAATGTAAACAAAAATTATGGCCACTTTTCTCTCAGCTTGGAACTTAAATAATGTTATAACCATTGATTACAGGTGCCTTGGGCTACTTCAGAGTTTATATCAAATCTCTTAAGAGTGTTAATTGGATTGTAGCTATACTGGTGTGTAGTGAGAATAAAGCAAGCTTAACTTTTACAGACCAAAGATAAAAATTCTCATACTAGTTTATAAATGGTTTGCCCCATTGTTTGCCCAACATATTAAAATGTAATTCTTTATAGTCCCCAACTCCATGTTAATAATCTAAGTTGCCATGCCTGGGTGTACCCTTTGGGCACTGCCTGAGGTGAGGGTTGATGGGGGACTGTGCCCCCCAACACCCACCGACAAGCATTGTCTCCACCATGGTATGCTCGGCAAGATAGAGCTGAAACCTGGGAGTGCTGAGCAATCTTTTTTCTTTATTTATGATGTTATTGTCCGAGTCTGTAGATTATTTCTTGTACTGATGACTGCAACTTTTTGTCCTGTACAAGAAAAGCATCTTGAATTTGCCCGTACATAGTGCACCCATACCTAAAAGATTAATCTGTTAGAATATGGGCATTGTTAACAATAGGACTGTATTAAGAAATTGTCATGGCCTCTTCAACTCTGGCACTCGGGTAAAGACCAACAAATCACCGCCCCATAAATTCAAGCAAGATAAAGCTTATACTAGTTATTATTATTATTTTTTTTTTTACAGTAATCACTGAGGTGGTGTACAAGCTCTAAGTCTGATAGAAAATAAGTGGCAGAGATATGTTGCTCTCAGCTGGAGCACATACAGGCACAGAGGTTATTGCAAAAAACAATGACCTCTATGATATTCATGATGCTTTTCTCTTGTGTATTGTGAATTTTTCCTAGTCCGTATCAATAACTGTATCTGAGTGTTGAAATTAGAAAAGATTTGGATGAATTACTAAGTTAAAATTGAGTGGATGACAGTTTTGTGGTGTGAGGGTTATTGACCGTGTTGAACAGTGGAAAGAAGTAAGTAATATTTGCTCAAGCAAATTCTAGATTATCATCAAGAATCTTGGAAAAATGTCATCAGTTATACCGGTATTGTGAAGCGTGGAATGATTGAAATAGCAGAAGGTGACTGATATAGTTACATAACCTCTCATAGTTGTGTGTGGTGAGTGTTTATGAAAATAAGTTTCGGCATATGAAAAATGTAAGCTATTTCACTACATATAATTACAAGAAGATTGCCAAATATATTTTTAAACCAGAAAGTTTGCATTCTAAGAAAAAATGGTGCAATGTGAATGTTATTATACACTTGGATATTCTGAAAAAAAATTCAGTCACTTTGTAGGGATTGCATAAGAGAAAGAAGCAATGAATGACAGAAGTTATTGCTTGCATTTTAGTTGAAATGTTGGGAAGTTACTCAATTTTATAAATACAATGTGGTATATGTATTTATTATAAAAGTATGGTTAATTTATTTGGAGTTCAGCATAACAGAGTATGGTTTTGCTGTCATGAGTAAGCTGTATTTGAGGAAAATAGCTGACACATCTCTTGGATTTGTGTGCAGAATATTTGCAATAGATTAGAAAAAGTAACTTTGGTAGTAAGCACCATATGTTCCATCCAGATTTCCAAGAGGGAAACATCAGATTTGTACTCTCATTCTATGATGGACATTATTCTAAAATTGCATATCAGTGTGTTTGAAAATGGAATTAATGTGCTCTCTTTGCTGGGTGTGTCAAACCTGCTTTTTACCCATAAAGAAGAAAGTTGCGGCATTTCCAACTTTTGATATTTATTCCCAAATATTGTGATTTTCACTTCAGAGCATTTGAATGTGTGCTTATAGCAAATCAGTTTGTATTGAGAGGACCAAGTGCACAGGTGTGGTACTTAGTTTGAGGCTGAAATTCCTATGGGCTCATTATTTTAGCCAGGTGTGGGATCCAGGTAAAGTGAGAGTGACCATTTTTATCAGTTTTATTAGTATTAACTTAAAAGGTACTAGTGTATTTTCATGAGTGAAGTTACTTTAATGATATATGTAAAACAAAAAATGGAACATATGATAAGTTGTTTATTTATTTTTAGATATCACTGAATAGGGGAGATAGATATGTAGGTTTAATTTCTGTATATTAATATTCAGTTGATATAAGAATATAACCTCAGTTGGTAATACAAGAATATGACATGTTTACTAACAATTAGAGAAGAACAATTATAGTAGGCTACAAAAGGAACTATGACTGGAGTGACACATGTTAGTGGGGAGACATCCTTCACTTTCACCAGACCATGTGATACTGACCTCCAAGTCATCCCGAGGCCACTTGTGCTAGTCACGGGTTTGCCACCAGAGGGAGACCTGTGGCAAGGGTTCATATAACTGGAGGCAGTGTTTAATTTTGGTGGCATGATATGATGAGGAAAGCAGATATACATCCAGAAAGAGAGATGGAGGGTAATTTGGTGAAATATATTTTTTATTCTTCTTTCATCAAATGGTTTCATAAGCTTCATATATAAATTTCATTTCTACTGCACTGGCATGACTGCTTGCTATGCCGAATATAATGAATATTTTCTGCACAAAAGAAATTGCACTGAACAGATTGTAGATAAAAGAACAACTCAGAAACTAACTGACAAAAACTGATACCCAGGCATAGAGGTGATAAGATGGGTCGAGGCATTTCACAGGTATTGTTTGACAGTGCGCTAGTCTGGACCTAGATAGCATCTTTGCCTCTTGTGGGTCTTTGTTTGCGCAAAGACCCACAAGATGTATGTATATATATATGTATGTATATATATATATGTATGTATATATATGTATATATATATGTATGTATATATATGTATGTATATATATGTATGTATATATATATATGTATGTATATATATAAGCATGTATATATATATATATGTATGTATATAGATATGTATGTATATAGATATGTATGTATATAGATATGTATGTATATAGATATGTATGTAT